ATATATATATATATATATATATATATCTGTCCAAATCCTGTTTAATGTTGAGATCCTTGATTTTGTACCAGGAATATACCGGTAGTAACATCATCTTGATAATTATACATTACAAAATATCCTCTCAAGGTGTGGTCATATTAGTGACATTTTGGTGAAATTTCAAAGGCTAAAAGGTCCATTGTTTATTGTCAGTAGTGTACCAATATATGAAGCACAGCTCACACAGAAGTCACTTACATACCAAGCAGCTTTCCGTTGGTCAACTCACCAAATCCACGTGACTGACTTGAACCCATTGCAAAATCAATGTTAAGAATCATTTTGCTCTAACTCGAAATTCCTGATCACATCGATTCCTATTGAAATGACTGGATTTTGCATGTGAAAATTCACAGAACAGTGGTAATTGTGACTTTACAGTAAATAGCTTCAATGTAGTTAGCCACTTTTTAGTAACTTGTAGTGTAGCTACGTTGACAGTAGTTTAACTAGTTTAAATAATGAGTAGCCTGAGAAATCTCAAAGTGGTTTCTTCAAAACTGCTGACAAACGTGTCTTCTCTGTTCTTTTCATAGGCTGGATATAATCGTTCCCTCTCCATGCAACTGTTCCCATAGTTACGAATGGGCCACATGGATGGACTAAAGAGGAGGATTTTTTGTTTTTGTTTTTCATTTGTAAACCTGTAATGATGCTGACTTGATGGCCATTTTCTACTGTAATTACACATTTACTTTTATGTCCCCATTTGAAAGTTGGATTTCAGGAAGGTCTTTTAAACAGCACTGAGCCGATTGGTCAACAAAAGATGGTCTGAGTTTGATGTTCTTGGTTTGTGTTTTGGGTTGTCATGTGGCTGAACCATTTGTTATTGTTTATATGATTCATTTTAGCAGATTGTTCATTTGGTGAAATCATTAAATGAACCAGCTGAAATGTGATTCACTTTGAAACCCTTCGTGACATGACTTTTTTGTTCCGTATCATTAAATTATAACTAAATTATAGTAATTTATAGTGCTATCTGTTGTATTTTGTGTTTTTTAATGTAGTTATAGTTACGAATGGGCCACATGGATGGACTAAAGAGGAGGATTTTTTGTTTTTGTTTTTCATTTGTAAACCAATTCCAATTGTGACAAAGTGATAAACCTTGACAACGATGCTGTCAAAGCGCATCAACAGAGATGCACTGATAAAGACCCACGTCAGTGTTTGCTAGCTACAACTCTGTTCCTACACTCTTCTGCTGTCTCCACTTTTTTCCTTCTGAGGGAACGTCCTGTTTGACTGCGGCAGTGCAAAGGGACACATGTGAAGCTCACAGCCGTTGCTTGCCAAAAAATGACAAGAGATACATAATTCTCACTCTTAATTTGGAGGAAGTCTTCATGTGAGCAGGAAGTCATGAGAAGCATGTTGCTGGAGAGTTGAAGCTTTCTTTTACTTTTGTACCTTGAGTTCTTGCCATGGAGTGCGTTTTGGCTTGTTTTATCCCCTTTCCACCTTGAGCTGAAATCACAAACAAGTGCAGACTTCACCGAGGACACTCTCTCTGACCTTCCCCATCAGCTCCCTGAGTATGTAACCTCACAACTCGATCTGAAGTGGAATGAGAGGCTTCTGAGGCTTATTAGAAGACATGGATTCTAGCTGTAGCACCTCTCTTCTCATTTCAGCCTGAAGGAACGAATGTTCCTCCACCATCTTATCATGATCCTGGCTGAAAATGGACAGTCCAACCATCCGAGCAGCTCAGCTGAGAACATGAAAAGATGTGTTTTGGTGTTCAGGGGCTTTATGAAGCTGACTTCATGGCCATTATCTGCTATTATTTCCTTTTTTTCAAACTGACAGAAGAAAAACAGCCCACATTAAATTGTTGGATTTGTATTAGCCAGGTATCTGAACCCCCTCATCGTGTGTTTGGATGTTCTGAATTGGATGTTTGTGGGTTGGGATATCATGGTGAAAAACCGTTTGTTAGCATTTATAGTTATTCCTGATATCAGACAAGTTTTAAGTGGTCGGCTTATGTTACTGAATGACATGGATCCAATGATTTTCATACACAGAGTAAAAACAACACAGCACTTGAAGTACAGAGGTAAATGTAACTTGAGATGTGTCTTTCATAACCAGGGGAGGGTCTGCTTTCGGTCCTCAAGTTCTGAAGTCAAGGATAAGAATGACGTGAAGGTTTTAGTCAAAAGGAGCCAACACCAAATGAGCATGAAAATATTTCATCTCTGTAGCTTTGTGTCATAATCTGTTTCCCTGCACATTCCTCCATGTCATCCATGCCCACGCCACACTTAAGGAAAAGGATAAGGAAAAGGGGCTTAGAAGTCACTCCTTAAAATACTAATCCAAGGCTGGTTGTTTATTTGCATGCATTTGCACCAGTAACATGAAGAGAAGGTTTGAAGATGAGCAAGAGCTTGGGAAGTTTACAACTTTCCAAGCAGAGAGGGGGGATAGATCTGACAATGAATTGGATTGCATACTGCATAACATACATTTTGTTATCAAAGTACACTATATTCTGGGTGCAGCATCTTTTAACTGGCCGGTGTTATTGAGATTTGTAATTCAGTTATTGAATATTATTGCCTCTGCTTGTTTCTGCAGCATTCTGTTCGATTTTCTTGTCTTACGGCCTCTGTTACCTGATGGCGGCGTTTACTTTCCAGTGGGCATTTAAAATCCTCCAGTTTATACACTGTACTGTTCAGCTTCTGAAATCAATCACTGATATAATTGCTTTTACAGGTTTATTACTTTTTAAATCGGTAGCCTATCATGGTTGTGTTAACATGATATTACCCAGAGCTTGTTTCAACTGTAAGTTGATTGAAAAAGCAAAGATTGTATTTTCATTGGGATTTTGTGGGCCAGGAGTTAGGCAGGTACATTATCTTCAACCTATTGACATTAACTTTATATTTACAAGACTGTCGCATGGCTGTTCTTTTTAGGAGAATTTCATTTTGTATTCCTTTATCAGTGTAGATGGCATCTTATTGCAGTTTCCACATATCAGACATAATTTTGTTGAAGTTGATCTCATACTGACTTGGAGTTTTACATTTCTTACAGTTGCATTTTACGTCTCAGCAACCCGACAACAAAAGCAATGCTGCCAGATTTACAATGCTGACATTAGAAATGGCTCCTTGTAAAATCCTACAAAAGATGCACTTTGCTAGCGATAAACACATACACACAAAATGTCAAGGCACAAGGGCTTCAAAGTCATCACCTCTATTTTATTTTTCATCTTTATGTTTATATTAACCCAAAATGTTGTTGAAAGATCCAGGCAGCCTGTGTTTTATGCTTGTCCATCTGTTTCTCGTAACAGTGCCTTGGTAACTCTATATGTGGTATATCCAATCTCTTCTTATTGCTCCATTTTTATTATTATTGCACACTGGTCAAGAGTTGCCAGTTGCTAAGGGAGAATTTCAAAGATGCAGACTCGTTTTTTTTTATACATTTTTTTTTCTCCGTTTGGTATGGAATCAAGTCTTTGTTATTCTCAGCTTAAGAGAATCACACAAACACAAAAATAATAACCAGCACCCCAAAACATGTAATTCATTGACATATTCACATATTCCTTTTGGTTAGAACCTGCACTTTAAGGGAGCAAGTAAATGCTGTTTTATATTCTTTGGCCTTCATGCTTGCATGTGTCATGAGACTATTCTTATATTGTGAATATTATTCATTTTGCAAAACCTATGGTGCTGCTATGCCAAAGTAAAAGGCATCAGCCTATTTTATATACATATATAGAGAGAAATCCAGCCAAAATCAAAAGCATTACAGCATTTATTATGTTATTTGTGGCATTTAGCAATGCTAACAGTGAATTAGCTGAAGCGCTCAACACATTCTTGTCGGCGTTCCAGTCTAAACAGTGTAGTCGTTGTACTGATCACTGTAACAGACATGTTCCCTTCACAGCGCTGATGTGTTTTCAGTGTCAGGCCATTTTCATCAGAACCAGTGCTTGCATCTTCATATGAAGAGATCTGCCTGGCAGCCCTCCATATATTTTATGCTCAGCCCGACCGAATCACACACACACATCCGTTAAACAGAGATCAGCACCTTAGTTAATTTAAATTAACTAAGTCACAGGCCACATGTCACGTCACTTTAAATTCTTGAATATTACCTTCGTATATATGTGATGAGTATATGGCAACTTTTTCATCAAAGGTTCTGTTGGCATGATGTGAAAGAGAGCATGAAGCAAAGAGGATTGCGAAGACTTGGATGATCATGTCAAGACCACTTCGTAGTGTCAATGTATTTGTCTCATTTATCATAGTCTTTAAAAAATGAGAATTTTAGATGTAGACAATATCGGGATTGCACTGAATGTATTTTTAGTTTTGGAAATATCTATGCTATACATACGGTGAACATCCAACAAACTACGTAACTAAACCAGTAATTGGAAAAACAGCACCACTAAAAGACTGCATATCAATATATTTGATTTGCACACTGCAGCTTATATTGGATAAGTATATGAAAATTTTATACTACTACAGGATGAACATATCAGTTTTGTGTGGAGGTCAGTGTGAAAATATCTTGGTATGCACTTGTCCAACTTCTTTTTGTCTTTTTTTTTTCTCTCATTTTGATAACCACAACCATGCGTTTCTCTCCAGTCGGTAAGAGGTACAAGCCCAGTCTTGAAGGACTTTTAAAGGACTGCTCTGCTCTGGCTATCCAAAGCCTAAAGGAATTCAGTCAGTCTTGAGTTATGTACTTGACCAAAAGGATTTTTTTTTTTAACAGTGACTTTCAAACTTTAAAGGACCTTAATGGAGCGGTCGGTTGCGGCTATCCAGAGAGAGACTCTGATGCTGAAAGGAGAACTAATGAATAGAAACTTTTTTTGTAAAGAGATATATTTTTATGAAAATAAAATTTTAATATAAAAAAGAGAAAGTGTATTGACAGATCTGTAAATGTTTTTCATTATTGTAGTACAAATGCTAGTGGGGATTATAAAATATATATATATACACACACACAAAGCAAAATAGAGACAAAGTTTTTTTTTTTGTAAATGTAAAAAAGATTGTATATAGAAGTTTACATATTGTAAATATGTAATACTCAACATGGCTTGTCTGCAATATATAAAATGTATTTTATCTGTCTGTATATGATGCTTTGCATTGTGTTTAAGCTTATTCTACTTTCTTGAACTTGAAACCTATTTTGAAGTATTTGGAATAAAAAATGAAAACATATATGTGCCTGCTATTTTCTCCATTGTGTGGAAGGTTTGTAACTTTGTGCATGATAATGAAACTTTGAGGGTTCAGGAGGCTGAACAGAACGTTCAAAGCTTTATTCATCTGTATGCCCAACCTGACAAAACAGGACAATAAGCCCAGATATTTTCCTCTAGTTGTCCTGTAGCGCACACAATAACTGTATATGGAAGGCATTAAGGCACATTCAAACCCAGTGTTTATGTAACATCCTGACTGCTGGGATACCGATCTGCTGATTTTAAAGGCAGCTTTTGTGTATGCTTTACTACATATTATGCTTAACATGTACGTTATAACCTAATCATGTTTGATTGAATAAGATAAAAAATATTAATTCA